CCAGGGGCTGGCCGCTTCGTGAACAAAGGACTAGAAAGTGACTCTTCCCTTTCTTTTCTTGGCTGTTCTAAAAATACAGTGCACCCCCTCTCCTGCTTATCGGACAGGAAGCTTCCTGCTTGTGCACAGCCATTGTCTGCCGGTGAGCAGACTTCCCCTGGACTGGGCTGAGGGCTCTCACAGGTCACACCTAGTCCTCCCAGCGGCGGGTTTCTGAAGACCCGTCCCTGATCTCCTGGGAGAACTGGTCTCCCGCTGGCCTGTTTCCCACCTTACCCAGACCTCGCCAGCCTTCCAGAAGTGGTCTTAGAGGCTTTGGCTGGGTAGCTTGCCCTTTCTCCAAAGGCGCCAGTGGGACACATTTCTGGACCACACTGACATTTAAAAAATCTAAACATTCATAAATGTCTGCACGGCCTTTTTAAAATGGGCAATTAGTTGTTAAAGGTCTCTGTGATTCCCACAAAGTTCAGCCCCTCTTTAATCCCGCCCCCCCCAAAACACACACACACACACACACACACACACACACACACACACACACAAACACACACACACACACACATAGTTACTCTTCATTTCCCATGGTCGTTTCTGGAGTGCTTCAGCTCTATGGGGAAGAACTCAATCAACACGTGGTAATAATCTGGGGGTCATTCCTTATGAGCAACAGATTTCAAATACCACAACAAGGGCAGGCGGAGAGAAGTCTGCTGAAAGCGGACATGGGCCAGGCAAGCACTTTACCTAAGCTATTTGGTTTGGATTTCCCCCTCAGAGCACCCTGAAAAGGAAGGGGGTTATTGTTCCCATTTAACAACAAGGAAACGGAGGCTTAGAAAGGTGAAGCATTGGCTTGCCAAGGAGACGTGGCAAGGAAGTGTTGAGCTGGGAATTGAATGTTGAAGACCATGTTCTTACCCATCATCACCCAGGCTAGTCCCACCTGAGGGTCTGGGAATAGAGCAGAACAGCAGCCTAACCTTCCGCAGAGAGAAATCACATGGCCCCGCCTGTGGAATCCCATAGCCTCATCCATGCCAAGGGATGGGCCCTGCTCCAGACCAAAGCAAAGAATCTACGGAGAGGACCAGGGAGAAGCTGCCCTTAGATGGTCCCAGGACACTCAGCCAGTCAGCCATGAGCTGTCAGACTCCCTCTCCACAGGAAGCAGGGGGCTTCCTCCTGTGTGATCCTATTTACCCAGCACAATACACCACCAGTGACAAGAACTATGACTTCATGGTTGCTGCACATGCCAGCTACCAGGCTAAATCCTGAACATTCACCGTCCCAGACCTCACAGCCCTGCAAGAGGGGGTCAGTCTTCTACAGGGAGGAATGGAGACTCAGAGCTGAGAACAAGGTGTCCAAGGCCATGTTATTGGGGGACTGCAATGCCCAGATTCAGACCAGGACCACCTGAATCCAGAAGGCTGTTCAGATTCATGGCTCCATTCAGGGTGGTGTTTTTAATGAAATGCATTTGTTCCTGATGGCCTTGCATAATTGAAAACGCAAGTTCCCAGAGGACCACGTTTGAAGTAGGAGTCACATTTCAAACATTTCCCCTAAGCGAACATTTTTGTTTGGACACATTGGCAGAGCACACACCCATGTTGCCCTAGCACCCAGGGCGCAGCCCCAACTACATCCCACAGATGTGGCTCTTGGACCAAAATCCTCTTCATCCTGCCCCCTGGCACCAGGAAGATGTTCTCAAGGTGGCTCAACCCTGAGTACTTCCAGCTGCTGCTCTAATCCCAGTCAAAATGGCAGGGACTGCTGTGTCCTATTGTCGCAGGCAGGATTTACACAAATAAAATGAACAACAACAAAAATGCTCATTTCCCTGGCCAGTGATTCCTCCCCGCAGGCCTGAGAGGCAAGCTGTGGCCCCCCTGAAAGTCCCCTTCGGCTTCTCTCCAGTGGAGTTTGGCTCAGAGCACCGAGCTCAGGGCAGGAATGGTGGAGAGCAGGGAGGATCATGGTGGGCTGAACCAAGCTGTGGACCAGTCCTAACAAGGAGCAGAGTGACTGCTTTCACTCTCCCCGTTTCTAACCACCCTCTGTGGTGGCTGCTCTATGTGAAGCAAATAACTACACTGGGATGTAATTATGGGTGCGGGTAGCCAACTCATCAGGCTAAGCAGACCACCATGTGTGGCACCTAGCAGGATGCCCTCCCTGTGGCCTGGCCATAGTGCCCTAGGCTCCCTTGTTGATTTCATTATCCTAGTCTTCATGCTCCTGGAATCGGCAGGGACCTCAGGTCTGGAGAGACAGTAATGCAGTGGGCCTGACCATCCTCTCTGAGAAGATGGCCAGTAATTCCTGACTCTCCTTCAGAGCTGGCCTCGTGCCACCTGTCTAGACCAATGTGGAGAAAAGAGCGCAGCAGGACACTAAGGTTAAATCAGTCTTCCTTCTGTGCCTATTTGAAGCAGGACTTAGCCCTTAAACAGTCCAGAAGGATCCAAGGCCATGGTGTATTTATGCTAAATGAAGTTTACAGGCGATTTACAGAGAAGTGGAGAGAAGATACTCATGACCAGAACCCAGCAGACATTTCATCACTAGACATCCTTGTTCCTGCTGCATCTTTTTCTATTCCAGCCACTTACCTGTCCTCAGGTAAGTCACACAACCTATGAATCTCTTCTGTCATCATATGTGCTTCACCTCTTGAGCCTGATCTGTACATATGACTTAAAAAAATAAGTTTGGTACTCACAAACACAAGAATCAATTATTCCCTCATCACATCCCTGGCTGGCTCATTTATCCTCGGATGTCTTCAACCCTGATACAGTGGACTAAGGAAGAGCATTTATGGACTGGGCCTCTCATTGCTGCTCATCATGAAACCTGTGCCATTACCCACATCCCTTAAGAGAAGTGCAAATTTGTCTGAAGCCAATAAATTATTATACAATGAGCTCCAAAGCAGTGATGCTCTTGGGGTGCCAACTAAATGCAAATGCAAAACCATTCTGTATGGCTATTTCCCAACACAGACCACACAAATTTTCTACAGGAGAAAAAAATCCCTCTGCAAATGAACCCATGGTCAAATATCATAGGATATACAAAAAATAATCCACCACAAACAAGAGCAAACAGACACAAAGCACTGGAGGATTAGCATTCTCAAAACTTGAGCTAAAAGAACAATTGGAAAAATACTATAAAATAAATATATTTAAAATAATTGAGGAGACCAAAGGAAAACTAGAATTATAAGGAAATATTAAGAATCCATGTAACTAGGACAGATAGATTTGAACTATTGTAATAATTTTTAGAAATGAAAAAAATATAGAGAGACAGCCATTAAAATTTAAAATGTAAAGGTTGGCTTAGAAATCAGATTAATATAGCTAGAAAGAGACTAAGCGAACAGGAAGACATACCTGAGGAAATCATCCAGGATGCAGCACAGATGAACAAAGCACTAGAAACTATGAAAGAGAAGTTAAGAGACATGGAGACCAGAAATAAAAGTGTCCAACATTTTAGAAGAAACAATGGAGAAAATCTGGGTATCAATATTGGGAATATTTTTGGCTGAAAATTTTTGAGAATGGAAGAAAAACCTTAATCGTCAAAAGAAATAGCACATGGAACTTCCAATGATAAGTAACAATTAACCCAAACTTAAGCACCTTATGGTGGACATGTAGAACAACAAAGAGAGAACAATTTTAAACATAAATAGAGAGAAAAACACACACCAGAATACCTATAAAGGGAGGCAATTTAGACTGATGAAGAAGTTCCAATATCAAGAGAAGCCAGAAGATAGAGGTATGATACAATGTGCTAAGAGGAAGTAACTAAATTAAATCCTGTTTGTATCTCAATTATAATTCAAAAATTAAGACATTTTCAGACAGACTTAGAGATTTTCTTATTCATGAATTCTGATTGTGGTGGTTACACAAATCTTTAAATGTGCTCAAACTTACAGAAAAATATATATATATTACAAGAAAATATATATAGCACTACAATTAAAAAAATAACATTATATGTCAAAACCATTATTGGTAATATATACCAAAACCATTAATTTTTATACTTTAAATGGGTGAACTGTATGGTATGTGAATTGTGTCTCAAGAAAGCTGTTAAAAAGAAAAGGAAAAAAAGAGGAATCTGAAGGCAAACTGATAAACCATAATGGTCAGTATATCTGTCTGTTATATTGTTTTCTTTACTTTGCTATAGTTTGGATTTTTTATATTATAAAATACAATAATTTTTAAAGAATAGGAGAACTTTTACTGGGCAATTCAGTGGTTTTTAACTTCATGTTAATGAATTATCTGAAATCCTTACTCATCTCTCCCTGCCACAGGGCCTATCACTAAGAGCCAGAGGCTCCGTGTCACAGGAGGGCCACTTGTCTCAGAATCAGGAGGCCTGAGTCTGTCCCTCCCTAACTGACTGGTGTCCACTAGACATCTTTGAGCACCACCTTCTCATCTTTAGACCTCTTTTCTCCTCTTCACAGGAGTCCAGAGGAATCAAATGAGATCATAGTGCAAGTGTATTCTAAACCCAAAGAATGATGGGTGAATGCACCAATGCCAGGAAGTATTCAATACACAATTAAACATAAAGAAATCCCACAGACCTCTTCATGGTCAATGATTTGACCCTCATCCTGCCAAACCCATCACAGCTCCGTTCACTGGTGTCTCTCTCTGCTTGGGTGAAATGAATGGATCATTCCTGGCATGAAGCACAGGGAATTACAAAGAAGGTGAGCCATCCACTGCAGGCTTCACCCTCAGCAAGCCAGAGCTGGGACCATTGCTTCATAGCTCCACATAGTTCCGCACGTCCTGGTTTCAGATGGGCTTTGGGGAGAAACAAAACAACAAAATCCAAGGAAGTTTCTGGTGGGAGAGGACGGCGTGGCTCAGTGTGGTATTCGCTGCCCCAGGAGCACGGCCACCGGCTTTGCCTTGGGGTAGGGGTTGGAGGCCACTTACCGACGCTGGCCACGGTGTACTGGTAGGGCTCAGAGAGGAAGTGTGGGAGGGTGAGGACGAAGGCACCCGAAGCTAGGAGGAGACCCCCGATGCCAATCAACCGTGGACGGTGCACCCGGCTGCCGAAGTAGCTGACGAAGATGATGAGGATGGCGTTGCTGATCTGTGGAGAGAGCAGAGGGACTGAGTGAGACCAGACACTCTGTCCTCACCCACCCACAGTGGAGACCTGACTGTACCTTTTCCTGGAAAAGCAGAGAGGGAAGAGGCTGCCTAGTGGCAGCTGGGGCCCAGGCGGAGTCCCAGGGTCAGCCTTGCCCGGAGAGTCCCGCAGTGGGACAAGCACACACGTTTCAGCTTTCCCCTGTTGTCAGAAATTCTTCCCAGTCTCAGCCTTCAACACTAACCCAAGGGAAGTCTCTAGAGACAATGAAAAGCTCATGGTCTTAATTTCAACCATCTTAGGGCCAAGCCCTTTGGGGTGAAATCCAAGTGTGCCTCCCATTCTGGCTGACTCCTGGGAACAGCACGTGTTCCCCTCACTAAACTCCCTGAGGACTTGGGCTGGATAGTCAGAATAGCCACCAAGTAACATGCACTCTCTTCGCTTCATCATGCAACAACTTTCATTTTACAGACAGAACTGGGGCTCGGAATATTACGCCACTTGTCCAGGTCCATGAGGTTAGAAAGTGGCTTGAACAGACACTGTCTAAGTTTTAACTAAATGAGCCCTACTGTCTCTTGGAGGAGGGGGTTTCTGTCCCAGCAGCTCTGCTACTACCCTGTTTCCCCAAAAATAAGACAGTGTCTTATATTAATTTTTGCTCCCAAAAATGCGCTAGGTCTTATTTTCAGGGGATGTCTTATTTTTCCATGAAGAAGAATACGGTACACATTTATTGTTAATGAAAATAAAGGAAATTTATTACCTGTATACGGTACGATAGTACGGTAGTTATCAACACAAACCAGACAAACTGTGAATCCTACAGTATCAAGAATTTACTCATTTATTCAATGACAATCATGTCATCATCTTCTGGAACATCATCATAACAATCCAATTCCTGAATTTCCTGGTGAATTTCTTGTGACTCCATTTCTTTCAGAATCAGAGGACCAAATCTCTCATGTTTAGCCTGGGGGGGGCCTTATTTTCGGAGGGGGGGTGCCTTATATTTCACTCAGAAGGAAACCTGTAAGTAGGTCTTATTTTCGGAAAACATGGTAACATGCACCTGGCCCTCCCTAGGTCTGCTTCCACTCCTATCAATGGGGGACAAGGACTAAAGCACTCTTATGTCTCTTCCCAGTTGAGCGTACCAGTAACTCCATGTTCCTGGTGCTCATTGGAAGGTGTGCTCTCTCAGATCCACCCAGAGCCAGGAAAGGGAACCGAAGGCCCCAGAGCAGGGATAAGGATCATAAATGGGAAAATAGGTGCTGGCTCTTGCCAAGATCACCAATGACCTCCTCATTGCCAAATTCACTGTCAGTTCTCAGCTCTCTTCTTACTTGATCTCCCAGCACCATTTGATTCCATTGAGCATTTCTTTCTTTCTGCAACACTTCTTTCCATGGGTTTCCATGGCACCACCTCCTCCTAGTCTCCTCCCTTTGGCTGCTCCTTCTCAATCTCCTTGGCTGATTCTTCTTCGCTTCCCCAAACTCTCAACTCTCAGAGCTCAGTCCCTGTACCGCTACTCTGGTCTTGGTGAGCTCATCCAGAACAGGGGGCCTCATGGAAAGAGAAGAGAGGCTGGGCCTGGGAATCCCATCCCCTTACCTGGAGATACTGAGGTTGCTGCCTCCCATGCCTCTTTCTCACTGACTTCCAGCGACTCCTAGTTGACCCTTCTACCCTTGACCTCTTGGCCCTCTGACCTCCCACCCTTGACCTCTCAGCCCGCCCTATCTTCTCAAACTTTGATGTGCAGTCACCGAGAGACTGTGTGAAATCAGAAATCTGACTTTTTTGGGGGGGAGGGGGAGGGCAAAAGCTCTGGCTTCTGTGATGCTAATAATACTGGAGCTGCTGGGTTTGGGATTGCTCCCCACCTGCATGCCTGGGGCTCACCTCCTCCCAGACTGGGGATGAGCAGAGGTCACATAAACTCATGGGTGGTCACAGAGGTCCAAATTTCGAGGCAACAGCCCTGCACACCTGGAGCAAGCTGCTGCATTTGCTGAGCCCCAGTGCCCTCCCCTGTCAGGTGGGAGAAGCAAGCAGAGCACCTGCTCACAGGGCTGCTATGAGGAGGCCCCAAGTCAGGGATCCCAGGACAGTGGGCCTGGGAACCCCATCTCCTCACCTGGAGCCACCGAGGCTCTGATCTCAGTGCTTGGTGCCAGGAAGCCTTGGAATTGGTAGCTGCTTCCACCATGCCCATTGCACCTGGCTGTCTCCTTTCCAGGTGTCTGGCCCAGCTCCCCATTAACTGTTCTTCCTGGACCCCCCTTTCCAGGCCTCGAGACCAGGGTGCACAAGCGGGGTTGGATGGACCAGAACCTCCTACTTACCTCATTCAAGCTGGAAATGAGACCCGAGGAGGAACTGGAGAGGCCGAAGCGCTTCTCGATGGTGGTGAGGCTGCTCTTGAAGTAGGCACTGTACAGGAGCTGGGAGAGCTGCAGGAGGCCATGGCAGAGCACGAACACCTGGGGAGACACCGAGACCCGTGAGGTCCCTGGACAGTGAGCCCTGGCTGCCCATCTGGGCCTCCCATTCTGTTTCTGCTCTGTTTTCTCACCTGTTACACAGCAACACTGATTTGATCAGGCGGCCCTGAGGGTGAAATGCCATCATCATCATCACATCAGATTTCTCCTGGGACTCAGTGCGCCCTCAGCCACCTCTTTCACCCATCCCTGCCGTTCTTATCACTGTGGCCCATAATCGGCCCAGTAAACTAGAGGCAGAGAAGCACCTCCGGGAAAGGTCTGGCTAATCAGCCACATCACTCGACTTGTTTTCTGACAGCATCTCAGTGCCCTGCGGGCTGCTGCTGTCCTTCCTCCTGTCCCATGAGGGCTGAAGTCAATCCCCAGCCAAGTCAGGTCACTCCCAGGGCCCTGACACACCCCAGGCCAGTGTTCCACTCCTCTTGACCTGTCCTCCATCCTCCTGATTCCAGCATCACCTGTGCACAGGCCCACCTCTGATACCCCCGTGACTCACCAGGATAGGTGCACAAATCACCAGGTTGTAATGAATGTCCCAAGCTTGTTATCGCCTCTAACGAGGCTATCTGTGATTGTGCTGGCTCTTTCCCTGGATGGGTGATAAGGCCTAGTCTCTGCATTCCATCCTGCCATATACCCTGTCGTGTGGGTATGAGTAAATGTGAAGTCTGTGGTTAATCCCCATTAACCGCAGCTCCAGGCTGAGCCCCAGGCCCTCCTGGGGTCTTGGCTGTTGGGTGGGACCCCAGCAGGTTCAGAAGCAGGAGTCATACATCCCCAAGCCCCCTGGAAGGTGTCCCTTCTGGAGACTGCACTTCTCTTCCAGGGCACGTTTCATAGTCTGCCAACGTTCCTCTTAATTGAACGCCTGGCGTCTCAGGAGAACAACTGGCAGAGAAGCACCTCCGGGTGCTTCTGTCTTTTTGCAAAGCTAATCCTGCCCCCTCTGCAGGGCCCCGCTCCAGGCTGTGGGATCAGAGCTGACATTCCCTCTCCTGCCTGCCAGGGCAGAGCCTTTGTGAGGCCAGCCTGGGGCTCCCGGATAGTGAGGGGGAGAGTGATGGGGTTTGTCCAGGTCACTGTTTTCCATGGACACAGGGCATCTGAGCATGCTCAAGCCCCAAGTCCCTGGTCCAAGCCAAATCCAGGGAAGAGGCATTGGATCTTGGATGCCTTGCCAGATCTTCCTCTTCTGACCAGCCCTAAAGGCTAATGCCCCCAAATCCCATCTGTTGGATGTGTCCAGTGGATACTCTCAGACCTCTTAGACCAGTGGTCGGCAAACTCATTCGTCAACAGAGCCAAATATCAACAGTACAACGACTGAAATTTCTTTGGAGAGCCACGTTTTTTTAAACTTAAACTTCTTCTAATGCCACTTCTTCAAAATAGACTCACCCAGGCCATGGTATTTTGTGGAAGAGCCACACTCGAGGGGCCAAAGAGCTGCAGTTTGCTGACCACGGCCTTAGACTAATCATTTCCCAAATAGGGCTCACCATCCTTCCCCACAAATCTCTCGTTCCCCTTCATTCTCCATTATTGCCAGTCAGTGCCCTAAGCCAGAAACCTGAAATCCTCCTAGATGCTCCTAGTCCCCATCCCTTGGCATTTGGTGCCACTGCTAAGCCCTGTGATGTCTTCTTGGTATCTCTCAAGCTTGACCTGCCCTTCGTCTCCTTGTTATGCTTTGCCTCATGCCCTCCCCTCTCTTCCCGGCTTCCTGTAACAGCCTCTCACAGGTCTCTGTCTGCCCATCAAAGCTTCTACCCTCCTCCCCCTGCCCCACTCCAGAAACAGCTGTCTCAAATACAAATGTGAGCAGGTGACACCCAAATTAACACCTTTCACTGGCCCCCCCACTTCCTACAAGACAAAAACAAATGTCCTTGGCATGGTATCCAAGGTGTGACACGTCCTAGACTTAGACGGACTCTGGCTTCATACTCTCTTGTGGCTGATTGTATTTTACAAAGATGGCGACGCCAATCTCCTGTCCCGCGTACATCTCTTACAATGTGACAATGACATTCCTTCATCAAAAGATGGAGTCTCTGTTCCCTTCCCTCCAATATGGTCAGTCTTAGCTGTTTGCTTCTTATGAAGAAAATAAAGCAAAAACGATGCCATGCAGCCTCTGAGGATAAGTCCTGAGCATCGACAGAGAATCTACTGGGCTCTTTCTCTTTCGGGATCCTTAGAACACAGACATCACATTATAAGGGAGCCCAGGCTTCCTACATATGAAAAGGCCACAGTCGGTGTTCCAGGTTACAACTCGAGCTGGTTTCAGCCTGCAGCCAGCATCATGTTACCGAGCGAGCCTTTGCAGGATTCCAGCCCATTTTTTATATGGGAACAGACTGAACTATCTCCACTGAGCCTTAAATAGAGGGCAGATTGAATAAACAGACTAAGTGCTGTCATTGTTCTAAGCACTAAGTTTGGGGTCACTTTGTTACATAGCACTAGGTAGCTGCTACACACTTTGCCCTTCAAACTTCTTCAAGGTCATACTATTCAAGTTCCCCACAGAATACGTTCATTGTCTGTGTATTTGCTCACAATCTGTGCAGAATCATCTTTCCCTTATTTGTCAGTGGTCGGCAAACTGTGGCTCACAAGACACACGCGGCTCTTTGGCCCCTTGAGTGTGGCTCTTCCACAAAATACCACAGCCTGGGCAAGATTATTTTGAAGAAATGGCATTTGAAGAAGTTTAAGTTTAAAAAATTTGGCTCTCAAAAGAAATTTCAATCGTTGTACTGTTGATATTTGGCTCTGTTGACTAATGAGTTTGCCGACCACTGGTCTAGATAGTTCTTCCTCATCCTTAGGGGCCCCTTGCTAGCCTGGGCTAGTTCAAGGTTGCTTCTAAAAATCCCAGCAGCCTGCTGATGACTCCTGCACAGAGGCATCTTGATGGCTTGGTGTATGGCTGACACTAAGGACAGCATTCAGCAGAGGAGTGAGGGCCTAAGGGCAACACAATGAGGGTTGGACTGAAGGCCAGCACAGTGGGGCTTTAGGTGGAAGCCCATCAGGGGCTCTTGCAGAGGCTGAGTTGGCAAGGCTGCCCATGATTCGAGGTGGAAGGAAAGGGGCAGCATTCTAGCCTGAGGGCCTGGAAGGGGACAATGCCATGGGTGGAGACGGGGGAGGGGGAGAGGGGTCAGGAGGAGGAGTATCCATGGATAGGGAGTCAGTTTCGGAACACCTGAATTTCTGAGCATAAAGCTAAAAAAGACCAGTCTCCTTCTAACCAAAATTAGCAATTAATTAGCAGGAGTGACTAATCCCTACCAAATTCCCCAGGAGTCTCATGAGAGGAAGGTAAGGACAGTAGAAGAAAATAATCTGTCTCCGATCTTTTCCTGAAAGACATGCCCTTGCTCTTTCCCGTAAATATAGAAATTCCCCGTTTTCCCCCTCCAAACAGTAGGTGGAAGACTGTGCCTCCAGTCAGCTGGCACCGTTCCCCGCCCCACACCCCTGCACCTCTCCGCCAGCTTTTAGCCACTGCAGCCTGTCAGATCTGGTGCCCTGCGGATACCCTGGCAGAAGTGCTGGCATGTAACTGGGCCCTCAGGTTCAAAGGCTTCCCAGGAGAAAAATGTTTGAAAACTTTGCACATTATAATCTTCACTCATGAATATTTATAGTTCACATTAGCATTTTAAAGGTTCTGAGAAATCTTTCAGTGAAGACCTGATTAACTTTCTTTTACCCAAATTTCTCCAAACTTTAACCATGCAACCCCCTCAACACATACACATTTTTGAATTATATATAACAGATACTTGTATTCAGATTATTCAGATACCATGTTCCTTTCAGAAAGCAGCTTATGGTAGAATCTGAGTCTTGTGATTTCTTCACAAAAGGAAAGTAAAAAGTACAATAAAGATATATTACATGAGCTTTTTATCTTCTTTAAAATAACATGCTATGATCTCCTCAGTCTCCCTTTAAAAAAACAAAACAAAAAAAAAACACACAACATTATTGCTTAGTAATACATCTGTTTATATCATATGTTAGATTTCTCACTATTTGACATTTCCCTTCACCAGGATGTAGACTTCATGGAGGAAAGGTAATGTGTTTTTTAGGGTGCCATACTCCTATTGCCTGGTCCATACTTGGGGCTGAACTCTTGCTCCAGAATATTCAACCAGCAGAGTAGCTGTCTGCTCCAATGATCTGTCCTCACTCCTTTATGAATTCCCCGATCAGCGTTGCCTCCCATCAGTCTACACGCCACAAAACTTGCAAAGCACAAAACAGCTTTGGCTAGCTTAGCTGCCCCACTGATTTACTTGGATCGCTCTAACTTATTTTTGGATAATTCTTAACCCAATCTAAAAAGTTAAAAATGTATTTGTATTTATATACAAAGGAACTATCTGGGGTGATAGAAATATTTTATATTTTGATCATGGTGGTATTTACACAGGTGAAGACATTTATCAAAGCTGCTCAATCATTTAAAATCTGTGCACTTAATTATATGTAAATGATATCTCAATAAAGTCGACCTAAGAAAAAATTAATTTTAAAAAGATTTGCAACCATGGAAGTATTCAAAATAATATTCTTAGGCCTAGAGGGAATTCCACAGATCTAACAAAAAAAATATTATGAGCATTGCAATGTCATTGGAATAAATTTGTCTATTCAAAGAACCCACTTTGAAAGAGTCAAAACCCATGTAAATATCTAAGTTTGTGTGTGTGCCAATGTAAACATCTACATGTTAAAGCTATCGGTCTTTATGCCCATGTTGCAGAAGGAAGCTGGTAAAGAATGCTAACGCCGGGGGAAGAGCATTCTTGTATGGCATGGTGGGCGGGCAGCTCTAAGACCGCAAATGCTTCGGCTCACAGCTCCCCTCTTTCTACAGTCCCAGGGAGCATGAAGAGGAAGTTGGAGAGGAAGGAAGCAGGGAAAATTGGAGTGGTCGTAAAGATCCTTCA